TCGACCACTGCGAGGCGGTCAGTTCATGGAATGGTCATCCTCCTTGATTTTCGTTTCCGCCTCGAAAGGCAAGATGAAAAAGAAAGCTGAGGCAAACATCCTGCTCACAACTTCAACGAAGAACATGCATGAGCCTAAAACTAAGGCAAGATGAAAAAGAGAGGCAAAGCAAACATCCCAACAAATATTACATAAACCGTCGCCCCAAGGCGGAATGTATCAGTTAAGCAAAAAGGAAATAAAGACGCGCTCTAGCGCCCAAAGCTAACTCAAGAAGAACCGCCATCAACAGGACCGGGCTGATCCACTTCACCGCCGGAAGTAGGGGCTGCAGACTGGGCTTCCTCGGAGTTAACATCGTTGTCACCCCAGAACTCCACTGCATCCCAAACCGCATTGCGATCCCAATGCACATAGGGGTGATCCCGACGGAAGAGGTGGCGGATGGAAGCAACCGTGTCCCGAAGAAGTTTCTGATACTTCGCTTCATCGATCGCCTTATACCCATCAGACTCAAAGAAAGAGGCGCGTGCCTCCTGCCTGGCCTCGTCCAAGTCAGCCTCCCTCTGGGCCTCCAACGCGGCCTTGCTGGATCCCAACTCCTGAACTTTGTCTTGAAGCTTCTTTTCCCTCTCCGAGATCTCTAGCATCTCCTTTTTAGCTTCTGCTAACTCCCGGGCGGTCTTCGTCAACTCCTCCTTCGCGGTCCGCAGCTCTGCATCCTTCACCTTCTGGGCCGCCTCTTGCTCCTTGAGTACTTCCTCCCGAAGTTCCTGGCGAAGGTTCTCGCGCCCATCCTTCAGCTGCTCCTCAAGTTTGAGGATGCGGGAATCCCGGTCTCCCAGGTCGTCCAGCAGGCGCTCATTGTGCAGGATCAGCTGACTTATCCCAAATTGCGCCTAAGAATAAGAATCCAGATCAGTACCTTGCGGCTAACATACAAAACAAACTAAGGCATGGTCTCAACACTCACCGCAAAGAAGCATCGAGCGGTCGTCCCGGCTAGATGACGGGCGTCCGAAGTAGTGGGGATGGCGCCCGCGACCCGCACGTACTCACTCGGAACGGCAAACCCATCGGCGATAGCATGAAGAGCACGACGTGCCGGCTCAGCGGAGGAAGTAACATGCGGAGAATACTGCGCGCTAGCAGACAGCTCCGTCGTCTTCGACTTCTTCGTGCCATGTGGCGGTTCGGGACGCTGGTCAACCAGAACCCCCTTTTGCTTCGGCTGCACCTCCGAGGGGGCCTTGTCCTTGACTACCACAACGTCCAGGGAGCGTTTGCTGCCGACCCGGGGCGCTCCCTGACTGCTGGGGACGGTCAACTTCAAGTTCCCAGAGCGCCCCATGGCCAGCTGTGCTTGGGTTGAACCGCTAGCCGCTCGGGGCCCTTCGGAGCCACTGGGAATGGAAGGAATGGCGGAAGGAGAACCGCTTGTGACCACCTTGGGCGGTCGAGCGGACGACGCATACCGGCGGATCCCTGCAAAATAAATACATAAGTAAAGGCATGAGCAAGCAACGTTTCATTAAAACCAAGGGAAACTAACTAACCGTGAAAACGTTGCACAATCTCAAGTGCGTTATCATGCCCGTGCGGGGGCAACCGAAACTGAACGGCCGAAGTGATGCGGTTCAGATGCGGTCTCAGATGCTGGAGCTCCTTGACACCGTCGTCCCAATCCTCCGTCCTCCCGAACGAAAATGCGGTCAGCGGTTCCACATCGCCCGAATACCATTTACCAGACGGACGAGCAAAGAAGTACTCGGCGTACCACGACGAGTCTAGCTTAGGAGATCCGAAAACGAACCCGACCTTTTTCTCCCTCCTCCGTGGCGACCAGCAATTCTTTGAGCCGGTCATGGCATATAATAGCCGGAAGGCATCAACCGAAGGCTCCTCCTTCAAGCGGTCGCAGGCCGCGCGATAGCAGAGGGAGTGGAAGATGATAGACGGAGAGAGGCGGCTCAAGGAGCAGCTCAGGAGTGTCAGGATCCCAGTAACAACGGGATCTAAGGGGAATTCTAGTCCCAGCCGGACGTGCTCGGTGAATATGGTGATCCACCCCACCGGGCACGAACCGCAACGCCCTTCGGGGGAGGGAGCCGCATACTCCCAATCAGTAGGCAGCCGGTGCCTGTGAAGCTGACGCAGCACTTGCGCTGGGGAGTAAGCGGGCTTGTACTTCGGACCGTACGAATACACGGCTTTCGGGACCTCCTCCCCCTCCCACATGTCCTCATGAAGACGCACTCGATACTCACGGTCAGAGATCGCTTGATACGGATGGACCAGAGGCGTCTCCGACAGCGCCAGCGAAGAGTTCTCTATCGAATCTTCCTCATCAGAGTCGTGAGCCGCATCCTTCGGGGCGCTTTCCGACGACAGTTCTACCAGGTTGTCACCTACTCGGGAAGTTCCGCCCCGTTCGACCATAGAGGTGGCCGTGTCATGAAGAGCGCCCGCCCCTAATCCTAGAATACAACCGTCAAGCCTATCTAAACGCTCACCCGCAACAACCGCATCGCCACCCCCACACAACAATTCAATACCCTCCGAGTCCCACTCTATGTCAGATAAACTTAAAGGACTAGGGATATCAGGCATACCTGCTCCAGCAGCGGGACCGCCTGCACTAGCGGTTTGGGTTCCGGAGCGCACGACGCCGGCTCCGCCGCGCGAAGCAACACCGTCCACGGGAACGGAGGCCGCCGCCGTGCCGGAGGTAGTCGTCGTCACGGCGACCGAGGCAGGGTTGGTGACGACGTCAGAGGCGGACGGCGGGGCCGATTCGCCGGACAGGCCCCGGTTCTAACTGTCGGATGGGGTAGTTGCTTGAGAAACCATGGCGAGCAGTTGTTTCTTCTTCTTCCTCTTGTCTCGTTTCTGGGTTCTCCTCAAAGAGGTAAAGAACCGACGTCGATCCGCTGAAAGAGACGGCCGAGTCTCCAAATAATGCGAGAGAGAGAATTTGGAGCACCGCGCAATTTTGAAAAGAAGACAGAGAGAACAGAAGCCGAAAGTGATCAATAACGGGGAGTCTGAAGTATATATAGGGGCAAAAAGGAGGTGATGTGACTGTTGAGTGCCCTAGGCCACAAAATTCAAAAATAAGCACGCGAAAGGACGTTTCGCCTGCCCGATGTCAGAGCACGGAAACCAACCTGCAAACACGTGTACAGGGCGAGAGGCGCGAGGCGGTCGAGCTACACCTCAGGCAGTTCAATCCTAGGCCCCTGGCGTCCAGGGGCAGAAAGGGACAAAGAGGAGGCGTGAACCGCTCAACTAGCTAAAAGCATTGTTAGTAGCCGCCAAAACCCTAGGCTTTTCCCGCCTAATGGGCAATTGTTGGGCCGCGTAGTTGAGCGTAACTGGGCTTCGGGCCCAAGAAGGGCGCATTCGCAGTCAAGGCCCAATGGGAAAGGCCAGGCCCGATCAGAAGACCGGGTCAACAGGCGGTCCTTGACCGGCTGCAAACCCGAGAAACGGATAAGGATGCCTGACATAAAGCGACTGGGCGACGCAGAGGGGCAGGGAGCCGTTGAAGATGCGTATCCGGTGTCAGGCAAGACTGAGCATTTATTGCAGGCCTCAGGCGGCCTGCAGAAAGGTAAAAAGCCTGATCGGGACGCCTGACACAGCCCAGGGCGCCCGACAGAACATTTAATGTCCCAACTACCTTTGAACCAGGTATAAATACAGAGCAAGCTCATTTATGGTAAACCTAACTACTACTCATCTCTCTACATAAATTCTCCTTCTCTCTCATTCTCTCTCTAACTTAGGCTTCGGAGAGTGTCCCGGGCGACCGCCCCGGACCCTTGTTTTGCAGAGTATTTGGAGTGCCCCCCTCAGTCCAGAAACAGACGCCTCGCTCCTGCTTCACAAACCGCCTAGTATTTACTAGGCACGAACAAAAATCAATCACCTCCTGAAGCAGCCGATTAGCCGAAATCAAAATCAATCCGACAATCCCTTATTCCGCTCACCTTCTTCCCCTAGTTTCGACCTGGCGTCTTGGCGACTTCAGTCTCTATGCCGTCGTTCGGTAATCGTTGATCGGTGAGAATTCCTCTTGTCTTTTGTTGATTTTTAGCGTGCTGCCTCTTGAGACTCTGTTCTCCGACGTCCCACCTTGATACTCTGCTTCTGCTTGAGAATGCCGAGTTTGGAGTCATGGAGTTGGAGAAGGAAAAGCAATGGGGCCGCCGGGCCGGGCCGAAATCCGAATGGGCCTGGAGGTTGGAATTTGGAATGAGTCTGAGTGATTCTTGGCTCCTTGCATTGTAACCATTAACCAAATTTGTGTTTATTTTTTTTGCAGGGTTTTGTTTTCGGCCGACTGGTTATTTGGGCCGAGGGAATCTGCCTAATTTGTTTTCGGGAAGAGTGGTCCTTGTATTTTTATTTATTTAATAAATTTTATGTAAAAAAAATTTGGGACCACATTTTTTATTTTGGAACAAGGCCTCCGAGTATTATGGGACGACCCTCTTGGGAGGACACTTCTACATCGCCAATCTCTAGCCCAACGTTCATGTTTTGACGTGATACCGTTCTCGAATGTAGAAAGATGTCTGCGTTTTGTAGCATACGGTAGTTTTAAATCATAATAATAAAGGAAGTATTGAAGGACATCGCCACGTTTTCACATGTAATTGCCTACACTCTTTCTACCTAAACGTTGCACTCTGAACATAAATGAAAGATGTGCTGCTGACCATAACGTCGCCGTCGACCGCAACATTATACAATCGCTTCGAATCCCCCGCCGGCTCACGTGGCCTTACCATACACGCGGCCCGCATATTATATATTCTCCTCCCACTAGCTAAATTCCCACATTAGTCTAATCAATTATGTCATCACTCCAAAATCCAGATCCTCCCTAATCTCCAATCCTCCTTTCCTCTCCTTGCAAAAATCCACACACACAAAAACAAATAAGGGGAAAAAAAATCCTCTGGAACAGGGAGCGATTCGTAATTCTCATCATCATGTGTCGGTGGCTGTACCCGTCCTACTTCCGGTGGCCGGAACTCGGCCTCTCCCTGCCGCTATCCAGCTTCCGATGGCCGGACTTCGACTTCTCGTCGTACCTGAGAACGGGAGCGTGGTGGAGCCACCAGCCGATCAGCCCCCTCCGGTGGCTGGAATTCTCGATCGACGAGATCCTCTGGAGCTTGGCGACGGCGGTTGAGTCGGTGGCTCTCGTGGCCATGCTCTGCTACTTCTTCCTCTTCTGTGGATGCACTCTGTGACGACTTGGAGGAAAACATCGACGGCGCATCCTATTGGAGAGACTAATTAAAGTCTCCAAACTTGGTCTTCCATCGCTTCAATTTCGTTTGTCTTCTCTGTGTAAATACTTAGGATGATTACCAAATCAATTATTTGATTTCTGTTAGTTAATCTGAAGTTTATAATCCTGATTAGCACTAGAAACAGATTTGTTTTTAGGGCCAGGGGGGATCGTTTCATCGTATTATCCTCTTTTTTCTTCCTTAATGGTATAAGACAATAGAGCGTAGAAGGTTGCGTTTTGGAATTCATCTCTCGTAGTTTTTCTTGCTGTGTCTATCGGTCCAAGCCCAAGTTGACTGTGTGAATAAGTGGGTAAAGCTAAAACGTGGAAGCGAAAATTCTTTGTATGACAAGAAAACACCAAGATGGCCATAAACTCTATCATCACATAGCTGTGGGTGAATCCAGGAGGTGGCTAAGAGAATTTGTTTGTATGAACTATGGAATTTAGGGATGGCAATTTACCCACCTATGGGTAATTTTGCCCAAACCCAAGTAGACCCATTTATTATGGGTAGGGTTTGGGTGATGTGTGTATGGGTTTGAGTTAGATATGGATATTATCTAAATGGGTATGGGTTGGATATGGATATCCATTTACTTGAGGGTGTTTTAACTACACATACAAAAATTGGACTTATTTGTAAAACTTGAAAAATTTAGGTACCAAAATGTAAGACCAAAAAAATTTAGGTACCAAAACATAATTTTCCATCGATATTTTGAGGACTTATATGCAAAAAAAATTAAATTTAGGTACCAAATATGCATATCTATTAAGTTTAGGTACCAAACCGTAATTTGTATTTGGGCATGGGTACAAACCCAAATCCATTTGTTATAAGCCCAACCCAACCCAAAGTAAATGGGTATGGGTACAAACCCATCAAACTTTACCCATATCCATATATTTGGATTTCATACACAACCCAATTGGGTTGGATAGTAAAATACCCATGGGTATGGGCAAAATTGCTATCCCTACTATGGATAGGTCGTGTTCTTATCTCGTTTGTGATACTGTTATTACGTCGGTTTCCATTACAATCAATCTATTTATGTAGATAATCATAGATTTTTCAAGTGTCCAGTAATTATCAAACTAAATAAGCTTAAAATTTATGAACCATACAATACAATATCATAACCAAATCGTTCAAACTAATACAACAACCAACTTAACCAAAGTAAAGTTCAATCGGTTTGGTTAATTGGTTAATCAGAATAACCAATATAACATCACATTATCATCAAGTGAGGAAATCTCCGATTAATGCATCAATTCGCAATCTATATAATCAGCGGTGGATCCAGAACATAGTAGAGCACTGGGCCGCATTTCATTAGAAAACTAGATACCGCAAAAATTTATAATTTTTTTACAATATCAATTGTCAACGTCTATTTTTCAATACAGTGAATTCATCAATAAAGGAGTCTACATCCATAATAATCGCATACTACTCTTTTTCAAATAAAATAGTTAACCAATCGACGAGAAATTCATTGCTCATTTTGTTGCGCAAATCATTATTCACCTGTTCCATTGTTGAAAAGGTTCTCTCCATAGTAGCTGTTGAAACACACAATGTCAACACTAGACAAATCAATCGACTAATCAATTTGTATTGTGTATCCATCCCTATTTTCAACATCTGCTCTAGTGATTTTTCAAGTAAACAAATCTCATATTTCTTTTAGGCTTTTACGTTTTAGACTTTTAGCATTTTAGGTTTCATCGTTTGTTTTTCTTTAGACGAGATCTATTTGAGCTACAATTTCTACACTAAATTTAGAGTTATGATTTTAATAAGTTCATATTACCATTTTTCTAATTACTCACAATTGTATTATAAAATAATACTGGGCCGAATAACTAAAATCGATAAACACATAAGGGCGATACTAGTTCCTGATCCAGAGAAGGGCTGGGTCGTGGCCCGGGGTGGCCACCCCCTGGATCCGCCACTGTATATAATGAATAAAAGATATCTTACTGTCAATAGAAGTATTCACATTACAAAAATTTATGTCAATGGTATGGGGTTAATGAATTGTTGTGTTTTGTAAAATGACTTATTCTCTTAGCAATTATCATAGGCTGATATATACCTTCCTTTCAAAATTTCATCCAACATATTGTATGAGTTTTATCTAAAATAGGAGTTCATATGCTGTGGTCTACAATCTACAAATACAAATATACAGTATAGAAACATATTGAACTTTTTTTTTATGAGCCTGAGAGGGAGGAACGTTTGACACATGAATGGTTATGCAAAGTATTAAGTAAGCGTATATAATATTTATGAGATATATGGTTAATTACTTAACTGGTTAATTTGGTTTGATTGGTTAGGAGTGTTTGAAACCAAACCAAATCACCTAAACCAAACAAGCTAAAAAAAATTAACCAAGCCAAACTTAATTATCACGGTAACCAACACCGTTTGAACACTCCTACTTCTACATACCCAACAGTTTCTTTCGGGTTGTAAAAAGAATAGCTTTGTGTATGAGAGAGACGAACATCGGGCATTTGGGCTGGATCAAATGGTGAATGGAAGCGTTGGCCCTATCCAAAAGGAGGATGGAGGCCTTTGGCCATTGATTCTTGTGCATGGGCCTTCATTTATTGATTAGGATGTAGGGTTGGTAACGAGTCGGATTGGCAGTAGATAGTGACTATCCAGTATTCGCCCATCTAAGTTTTAGGTGTGTACATATGAGGGAACGTATACATTCTAACTATACCCACACTCATAGATATGTTATATACCTGATCATAAAACAACAAACATTTTACACAACCTCAACAACATGATGATAAAACAGAGTAGTTGACCTTGAAAAGAAAATAAAAAGTCAAGAAAAAGTACTCTACTATAATTCTTCTTCATTGAGGTTCTCGTCAATTCAAACTTATAGATGTCATTGAATGACAAAAACTCTTCTCTTATATCTCTACGTCTCTTAAGATGTAGTTGCTTTTACTGTTAAGACTAAAGTGATGAGAATTGGTACTAGCAGAATGAAGAATTGAGAGATTATTTGTCACTTTTTTTTATCAAAGCTAAAAGGATTTGGCTTTGAGAAGAAGAATTCATTTAATGGCTAGTGGAGTTTGATTCTATGGCTCTATGATGACTAGAGTCAAAAGGATGGGAGGGCTAGGGATGGGAATTCAGAAGCATGGAGTTGAGAAATGATGGGACATGGTTGAAACTGAGAACGAGATTCAAGAAGTGAGAAGTTGATGGGCCAAGGGGGTATCTGGGTATTGCGGTACTAGACAAGTACGGGGTGGATATTAAAATATCCATATCCTGCATGAGCCTTCGGGTTTTATGCTACATTCACTGGTCATCCCATATATGCACTGAGTACCCGTTTCTCCATCGCATCCCACTCAGAAATTACTCATATGCGCTCATCAGGCTCCGCCAAATGAAGCTCCGTCTACAGTCGACTTTCACCTCCAAGATAGATGAATGACGATGGTACTTCGCCTTTAAGATGTGTGCTACTAGAGATGATGGCCTTTGCTGTAGGTTTCATAGTTTCCTCGCTAGGAGAGCAACGTTAAAGCCTCTCAGGTCCCTGAACCCCATTCCACCGTCCCTTTTCGAACAAATTAAAGACTTCCTCGCCAACCACAGAATATGTGTCTCCTCCCTCTTCTGACCCCACCAAAAATGCATTATCATGCTAGGGATATCCTCAACTATCCCATCCGAGACTTTAAACACGGACATCATATAGGTTGAATGAGCTTGGGCCACTGACTTTATAAACACTCCCCTTCCTACCACTAACATGTGTTGTTCCTTCCAACTTGTCAACTTCTTCCTTACCTGTTTTTTAAGGTAAGCAAACAACTCCTTCCTTGTCCGGCCTACCTCCGTCTTTTTTAACACCTGCAAGGAGGGCACCCTACTATCAAGAGCACGCAGAGCATAACGTATTCTCTCCTTTTGTCGGGAGAAATTCGGGAAGGTTTCACGACTCCACACTACAAAAAAGCGTGTCATTAGTGACCAGAGGTTTCCGTCGGTAAAGGCCAAATGTCGTCGCAAATGGGGTTTTGCGACCCCATAAGGCCGTCGCGCGTCGTACTAAATACGAGCGTCACAAAACTTTCTTCATGACGAGCCATCATAAAAGCTGTTTTGCGGCGGGTTGGGGTCATCTCTAATGCCTCATCAAATTGACGAACTACACAGTTTTGTTTTTGTGACGACAATGAATCGTCGAGAAAATTAATAATCTCGTTAGTTATAACTTCTCATTGTCATTGACGAAGATTGACGACATTGTCCGTTTTTTTACAAGACATAGTCGTCGCTATGATTAAAAAAGTCATTGGTAATAATTTTTTTACGACGCTGTCTATTTATGACAATACATATCCGTCTCTATAACTAATAAAGTCGTCGGTAATACATTTTTTGGACGACGTTTAAGGGTATTTGGGATAATTGAACATCGTCACAAATATTATATTACGATGAACGAGGGATATCACAAATAAGAATTTCAATATTTGTGGCGTTGCTAAATCTTGTCGAAAAAATACTATTAGCGATAATATGTAGCTGTCACTAAAGTATTTGGTTTGACGAAAAAATACAATTCGTGATGATATGTTCGTGAAAAAAACTATTGGATATTGTCATAGTGTTTAACTGCTTGTTCCACTTCTTCTTTTGGAAGTGAATAGTTGAAGCCTGCTTCCTTGAAACGTGCATCTAAAGCATCCAATTATTCTTTAAGAAACAGAGAGAATGCTGTCCAAGGACCATTGATATGTTGGTGGACGATTTTACTGATTTCATCAACAACCGATGGTGTGATTATCCTGAAAATGGAACAAGGAATTCGCAAAATAAAAGTATACACAAAACAACCTATAAAGAAATGGCCTAGATAGAATCAACGCCAGATTTTTGCTGATAGA